CTAATATTAGTCTGTTTCTCTCTTATTCCGAGGTCACCGTAGCCACCAGATCCAGTCTGTATCCAGATCAGATGGTCACTGCAGTCACCCGGATCCAATACGTATTCAGACCAGATGGTGGATCAGCACCTAAAAAGGACCTCTACAGCCCTGAAAGACAGCGGAAACAAGGACAACTAGATGAGCCACAGATACAGATCCCCTGTAAAGACCTTGTCTCAGACGACCACCGGGACAAGACCACAGGATTCAGATGAGTCCTCTGCACAATGTGACTTTGCTGCAGCCTGAAATTGAACTGCTGGTTTTGTCTGGCCAGAGGAGAACTGGCCCCCCGACTGAGCCTGGTTTCTCCCAAGGTTTTTTCTCCATTCTGTCACCGATGGAGTTTTGGTTCCTTGCTGCTGTCGCCGCTTCCTTGCTTAGTTGGGGACACTTCATTTCCAGTGATATCGTTGGCTTGATTGCAAATGATTGCAAAGATACTATTTAAACTGAACTGAGCTGGATGATGACATCACTGAATTCAATGATGAACTGCCTTTAACTGAAAAATTAGTGTTTACTATTGTCATTTTGCATTATTGACACACTATTTTCTTAAATAATGCTGTTTAGTTGCTTTGACACAATCTGTATTGTTAAAAGCGCTATATAAATAAAGGTGACTTGACTTGACTTGACGTAGGGCTCCTAGGCTGATTTAATACAGCTTCAGTTACCTCTTAAGCAACGGTGTTTCTAAATCCATGCTATGGTAAGTGTACACGCTAAGCATTCTGTGCACTTTCTAAAATCCTGTATGGTAAGGGTTACGTGCTGTCAGCCTCGTTCCCTTTCTCTGAATTGGTTTAGGCCCCAGTCCTCGCCTTGGCCTCCACTCAACTTGTGTATCTCTGAAGATACATTTCTGAACAGGGTGTTGCTACCAAAGATCTGTCAAGTCAGTTCTTTGAGCAGGTTTATTCAGAACCGCCGGTAGCCCCCCTGGGTGGCAGGCCAGGGTCTGGTTTGGTTTTTAGACACCTGGCCGTATCCCCTTAAAGGAATCTCTTTCTTCTGATTCAAAGCCTTGACCTCTGCCCTAGGCTTGGGTTTCCTAGCCAAGCCCTTAACAGGTAAGTTCTTATAGGTTATGCTGCTCAGGCCCTTGGCTGAAAGGGATAATGTCACTGACAGCCATCAAGACATCCTTGGGGCAACTCCCATGGCTATGATAGAATTGGTACTTAGTGCTCACCGTGGTTTCTGTCATGCACTCCCCTCAGCATGGCGGCGTGGGTATATCATTCCCCAAAGCGACCTCTAGAGAATGCAGTTTGAAGTTTCCTTGGAAGGGAACATCTCAGGTTCCGTATGTAACCATGATTCCCTGAGAAGGGAACGAGACACTTTGTCCTCTAGTTCCCTTGCCATGCTTCGGTCATAAGCTTCAGACGAAGCAGCGGATGACGTGTTATCCCAGCGCCCTTTTATACTGTGGTCACTCCGGGTGATGACGTCACAGGCTGTCGCCGAACCATGGTTACATATGTAGCCTGAGACGTTTTCCCTCACCATTGAAACATGCTGCTTTTTCAAGGTATCGTGGAAAAAGTGCCAGCTTTTATTTTCCTTTACGCCCTGAATAAGATATTATGGGTTCATCGAAATTATCCATCCTCAGTTAGCTTTGACGAAACTCCTCTCAGCTAGCGTGTCTTTTCAAAGTAATTTGATAATAATAATAATTTAAGCATTTAGCAGACACTTTTATCCAAAGCGACTTACAGTGCATTCAGGCTATACATTTTTTACCAGTATGTGTGTTCCCTGGGAATCGAACCCACGACCGTAAGTGAAATTTAGTGAAAATATTTTTTAAAAGTGAAAGCAGCCTTGTCACCTGACCGGAATACTGCGCACTGATTCGCTAAAATGGACTTATCAGCGTCTGTTCACAAAAAACAAGGGTGCTTGTAGTAAAACGTGAACTCGCGATGCCTTGAAAGGGGAAAATACCGTCTTTTTTTACAAAATATGTTTAGGGTTCCGATCGCGCTATATGTGGAGAATAATGCACAGCACTTAGAAAATTTTTTTTAAGTGGTGTTTATCGGTTTTTACAAATAAACTCTTCATATATAAACATTTAAAAATGTGTGTGTGTGTGTGTGTGTATATATTAGAGATGCACCGATTGACTGGCCAGTGATCGGAATCGGCCGGTTTTAAGCATGACCGGCCAGGCTCGGTGACCAGCCGGTCAGTCTCACATGTTGTCGATTCCGAGCCGATCCTTTTATTGCCAGTGGCACCGGCAATGATGTCACAACCACGCGCACACTCACAGTCGCGTGTAAACATGTCGTTTCGCGTGAGAAGGATTCTAATTTTAATTGAATTTAGTGTAAACAGCGACTGATAATGTATTAACGTATGTCGTGCCAGATGAGGCTTGCACAGCCTGAGTGAGTGTGTGAGAAAGACAGCACACATACACAAGTAACTCACATAAATTTATAGATGCATTCTGCAGTAGAAAAAAGATATTTACAAAATATGATTTAGGTAAGCAAAATTTATATGGCCATGAAGTTTCCCCGAATATCAATATCAACACAATTGTATTGTGTTATACAATAGTATTTCAATAAACAATAAGTTAAAATTAAGTGACTTAGATTTTAGACAAAATATTGACTGTTTTTGCTTAATTTCACTGACGAAAATAGTTCCGATCAAAGCCACAGCAGAACTGTGTCTCCGAGCAACACAGCGGTGTTTCGTTACTGAATGAATCCACATTTTTGAATGAATTGAGTGAGTCAATGATTCAGTGGCCCATTCATAAAGACAATCACTTGCCTCGTTTCTGAATGAATCAGCTGTTTGAATGAATCGGTTTAATTAATGAATAAATGACTCAATTATTAAAACAGACATTTGCCGCCACCTACTGGTGGTTTAGTCATATTTAAAAGTATCTCACGGGCAGCTTTGGGGCTCTCTGATCACTGTTTAGTTAATCTTATACCGACCTACAGGCAGAAACTGAAATCAGCTAAACCTGTATCAAGGGCTGTAAAAAGATGGACTAATGAAACAGAGCAGGATTTACAAGCTTGTTTTAACCTCGCTGATTGGATTGTTTTTGAAGCTGCAGCCACCAATCTGGACGAGCTCACAGAGACTGTAACATCTTATATCAGTTTCTGTGAAGATATGTGCATTCCTATCAGGACTCATTTAACTTACAACAACGACAAACCATGGTTCACTGCAAAACTCAGACAGCTCCGTCAGGCCAAAGAAGATGCTCGCAGGAAGGGAGAAAAAGTCTTGTGTAAACAGGCCAAATACACACTGGAAAAGGAGATCAGAGTGGCAAAGAGGAACTATTCTGAAAATCTAAGGACTCAGTTCACTTCCAGTGACTCAGCATCAGTGTGGAAAGGTCTGAAAGAGATCACCAACTACAAGTCGTCATCCCCCAGCACTATGGAGAATCAACAACTGGCAGACGATCTTAACAAGTTCTATTGCAGGTTTGAAAAAACACCCCACACTCGCCCTGAACACCTCTCCACACAAACATTAACACCTGCAATCCCCCTCTCCCCCACACCTGCACTTCAAATCAGTGAAGACGATGTGCGCCAGGTGCGCCAGATAGACCAGGAACTTATGTGAGGATCCTGTTTGTGAACTTCAGCTCGGCTTAACACTATCATCCCAAACCTCCTCCTGCCCAAACTAACTCAGCTCTCCGTGCCCACCTCCATCTGTCAGTGGATCACCAGCTTCCTGACAGACAGACATACTGCAGCTAGTGAGGCTGGGAAAATACACATCCAGCACCTGTAAGATTAGCACTGGAGCTCCTCAGGGTTGCGTCCTCTCCCCACTGCTCTTCTCCTTCTACACCAATGACTGCACATCTAAAGACCCCTCTGTCAAGCTCCTGAAGTTTGCAGACGACACCACACTTATCGGCCTCATTCAGGACGGTGACGAGTCTGCTTACAGACAGGAGGTTAAAGAGCTGGCTGTCTGGTGCAGTCTTAACAACCTGGAGCTGAACATGCTTAAAGCAGTGGAGATGATCGTGGACTTCAGGAGGAACCCCCTGCTCTCCCTCCACTCACCATCATGGACAGCACTGTAACAACAGTGGAGTCATTCAGATTCCTGGGCACCACTATCTCTCAGGACCTAAAGTGGGACACTCACATTGACTCCATAGTTAAAAACGCCCAGCAGAGGTTGTACTTTCTTCGCCAGCTGAGGAAGTTCAACCTGCCACAGGAGCTGCTGAAACAATTCTATTCTGCCATCATTGAATCCATCCTCTTCACTTCAATAACTGTCTGGTTCAGCTCAGCTACCAAATCTGACCTCAGAAGACTACAGAGAATAGTCCGAACCGCTGAGCGAATCACTGGTACAACCCTCCCTTCTCTCCAAGAACTGTACTCATCCGGAGTGAGCAAAAGAGCTAGCAAAATCACTCTGGACCCCTCACATCCAGCACACTCCCTCTTTGAACTGTTGCTATCTGGTCGACGCTACAGAGCACTGAGCACCAGAACGACCAGACACAGGAACAGTTTATTCCCTCAGGCCATCCATCCCATGAACACTTGACAATAACTGTGGATCACACAACACTATTTATACACTTACACACTTATTTATCTAACAGACATACTTAGTCTACATTTCAATATTGCACTAATATACCTGTTCATACAAAACTATCTATTGTAATATACCAGTACATACAATTGTCAATTTGTACATTGCATTCCTTATTTACTTGTTCTATATTTTATTTTATTTATTTATTTTATATATATATTTTTTAATCTGTGTTTTTGTTCTGTTACTGTCATTCTGTTGCATTGTGGAAGCTTCTGTCACGAAAACAAATTCCTCATATGTGTAAACATACCTGGCAATAAAGCTTATTCTGTTTCTGATTCTTCTGATTCTGAAATTTTGCAGTGTAAATGCATTTATGGCACCTCAACTTCATTAAACTGTCTGAGTAAATGCATCTAACGCCACTTCAGATGCAGCTTCTGTTTCCTCACCTGCTGAAATATATAGTATGTTAATACTAATTAGACATTTTATTTTAATAACAACTCTACAGTTTCTTATTATTCTAATGAATTAATTGAAACAGTAAGAATTTGATGTGAAAGATTACATTTAATAAGGTTAGGGGAAAAATTACCATTTATAAACAGTGGGAAATTACATCTGTTTTGTTACATACAGCAACTAATTTTAAGTTAACTATTTCTTCCTCTTTCTAGTCACAGAGCACTTTATTTTAAGAGCTGTTTAAGTGATAGAAAATCTGTAACTTAGTCCAGATTGGGGGAATTGTAATGTTTATTTAGTTGAATAATTGAATAACTGATGTCAGACAAACACAAAAGTATATATTTGCAGACTAGCACATTGTTAGTTGTAATGCAGCAACAAATGCTTTGCACTGAAAGAAAGAGATGAAAGAGATTAGATGGCTTGATCCATGCCCTGACCTGAAAAATTAACTGTATTCATAGAGAGCAAACTGATAATACTGTCTTACCTGAGCTCTCCTGAAAGATGGCAAAAAACCCATCAAAGTTCTTGTAACCATCTGAGATGAAAAGAATGTGCAAGGAATTGCCAGTGCTTTTGATTGGAGGTGGTCGCTCATTTCCACAATAACGTCCGATCACACGTGAGTTCAAGCTCTCTCCATCCCTCACTTCAACATAGTCATACTGACAGCTGTGGTCAAACTCCAAACTGAGCATCATGAATCTGAGATAAAGAAAATGACAAGTTCGGGTGATTAGGATATGATTCAGGTGTCAGGATATGCAGTGCTTGTGTGATGATATACAGTCTTAGTAAAGTAATGAAGATTAGAGAAGTCTCCACAACTAAGCTTTCGTGATGTCCTGCAAGGTCAGTAACACAGATTATGTAGATAGGTTTGGATGGTTATCCGTTTGTTTGTTTATTTATTCATTAATTCATTAATTCATTAAAATTTACATCAGTAAATCTGGTCCAAAAATGTCTAGGTTACATAATTAACTGCTACTGAGTAGTGGGAGTGAGACTCTATTGTTGTTGTCAGGGAATATCAGACTCTGAGACACAATTTTAGTAATACGGCAGTGGATGTGTTAGGGAGAACAGATTCAGAGAACAACAGAGGAATTCTGTAAACATGGTTTTATTAATAGCAATGAGCAAACACAGGTGGGAAAGATGGCAATATGCAACACAGGTCAAATCAGTCAAGTCACCATTATTTATATACCGCTTTTTACAATGTAGATTGTGTCAAAGCAGCTTTACACAGGTGAGAACAGAGAAGAAAGGAAAACTTGGAACACTGGTGTAGGATATGCTGGAGCAATGAATTGCAGGTATGTCGATCGCAGCTAAGTAGTCGTGTTTCCGACTAGCCTGAGGCTGACGCATACACACTGAATCCGACTCAAAACGATGTAGTAAACAGTACATGCCAGACCAGTATGTAGTGCTGTAATTCTGCCACAGAGATACACTAAAAACGGTGAAGAAGACTTGGAGTTTGCGCATAAACCTTGCGTGATGTATACCAACCCAACACAACAACAAGAAAAGCTAGTAAAGTTTTATAGCGTTTCAGAGCGAATCAGACAATTTAAGATTCGATCAGACTGGTGTTAAAACAACCCAAAGAGCCAAATTCCACAAAGAGGCCCAGGATAACAAGACAACATCATAAATCTGTCCACGATACGCTGGTGCCATGAGTCTGAAGCAAGTCCATCAACTAGCCACTTTGAGCAGCTCACAGCATTACAACAAAAGAACACTTATTGATAATTCCAACTCAGGAAGGAGTTTGGAAAATTTGGGGCAAGTAAACACATCATGACCATCAAATGGAAATCTATGATGGAAATCATGAGGTAAAGACTTCATTGGGTGGTTTCCCACACTCAAGACAAAGACCAGGCTCCTTCTAGATTTTTGACCTTTTGTTCCTCACAGAACACATCCTCACATTCACAAAACAACACAGAGACTGTTTACACATATAAATGCAGCAAAATGATGCTCAAAGGACTTATGAACAAATATAATTCCTTTGCACAACTCCATATCATGTATGTAATCATGTTCTAATCACTCATTGTGTATGCCTTTTAATAACTATTGAATAGTTTATAGGTTTATATTTATGTTTGGTATGTATGAGTTTGAAGATACTTTCTTGAAATGTTCCTATCAATCAATTCTTTGTAAAGTGTATCAGATTCTTGTTATAGAAACCACCGTGAGAGCGGGAAAATTCGGACCATCTGACTAACAAGATAACATGTTGATTTATGTATTGGGAGGAGAAACATAGTAACACCCTGAGCTAAAAGAATGTCTAATTGGTCAAGACACCATTTGGGATGCGTCCAACAGCCGAGTTTAAAGACGCAGGACACCAGTCAATTTGCTTTTGCCACCACTGCTTTTTGCTGCTTCTTTTGCTGCTGTTCTGGCTTATATGCCAGCTGCTCCTCTATACACGATGAGAAAATGAATCTAGTCTCGTCGCCTTATTCTCTTAACTTCTTTACTTCAGTTCTCTTTATGTTGAGAGTTTTGTGTTCTGAGTTATGTTTTGATGCAAAGTCATTTCTCCGAGTCCAACTTTCAACTTTGCTGCAGCCTGGAATTGAACTGCTGGTTTCGTCTGGTCAGAGGAGAACTGGCCCCCCGACTGAGCCTGGTTTCTCCCAAGGTTTTTTCTCCATTCTGTCACCGATGGAGTTTTGGTTCCTTACCGCTGTTGCCTCTGGCTTGCTTAGTTGGGGACACTTCATTTCCAGCAATATCGTTGACTTGATTGCAAATATACTATTTCAACTGAACTGAGCTGGATGATGACATCACTGAATTGAATGATGAACTGTCTTTAACTGAAAAATGAGTGTTTACTATTGTCATTTTGCATTATTGACACACTATTAATGCTGTTCAGTTGCTTTGACACAATCTGTACTGTTAAAAGCGCTATATAAATAAAGGTGACTTGACTTGACTTGCTCGCATCAAAACTTCAACCAGCCCACTGACTCGGCACCATTCGTCAGCCAATGCCCAAGACGTCACTCTGAATGACTACTGAACCTCCAGCCAATCAACAACCTTGGGAAACCCCTTTCTGCAATGACTACAACAAAGGGAACCCCCTACACAGTCAACGCAAGTACCTCCAGATTCTAGCTGAACAGGTCCATTTAACATAAACTCAATGCAAGGGTTAATTAAATGATTGATTGTTGTTCAGGTCTAAGCAATTGGACATATTGCTATAAACTTGGGATTTCCCATTTTCACTCTCTTAAGCTCATTCTTTCCTCACTTTCTGTCTTTCTGTAACTTGTGTGAATGTGTGAGTGCATGCTTTTAGGTGTTGGATTAGATTATATGTCTTAGATTTATCCAATAAAGTTTATTGGATAAATTTTATATTGAATATTTATATTGAAAAGATAACACTTTATTTATTTTCTGTGTGGCAGGGTAAGTTATTTCCTCTGATTGGTTGGTTGGGGTATGATTGGCAGACCAATGAGGTGGTAGCAGCCGTACTATTTTAGGACCTTTATTTTGACGGGGGGGTACGTTCCTGCTGACTTGGGGTTCTCTCTCTCCCTGGTACTTCCTCTTCCGTTCCCATTCCTATCCAGGTACGTTGAGTTTCTGCTGATGGTGTAATGATGCGTCTGTTGCGAGGTTAATATGTGCTGTTTATAGTTTGATTTAGAGTGGGGCTGGTGTCGTTAGCATTGCGGGAAGTCGTGGCAGAGTTCGCTTGCAGGTATGGTTGGTGTTTAATTTGTATGACCACCTTAGTGGTGGTATTTACTGGTTGTTGTGCTCGGTGCTAGCGACAAGGGCAGGTGGGTGAATGCTGGCTGGTAGACTGAGTTGCCGCACCGGTAGTGAGTAGCCATACAGCTGTGTGTCTAGTGTTGGTTCAACATAACTCGTGAGTATGCCTCTCCTGTTTTTCACATTTGGGGTTTTGTAAATTTAGATTCATTCTCGTATTCTTGTTTAAAGGTAAAGGGGAAAGATCAAGATTTTCAAGCCCTGTTTCTAGCAAGGACTTCTTGCGACGACAACGCTGCTGTTTTGCTCAGGGATATTTTTTGGTTTTATTTGATTGTGTCGCGTACGGTCATCTGTGCGGTTAACGGGTTTGCGGCTCCGCGAGTCGCTGGGGGCTGTAACGTTAACCTCTGGGCATTGTGTCCGCCGGGTTTTCTATTAGTTTAATTTCTTTGATTTAATTTCCTTGTATCGATACTCGCGTCTCCCTTGTCTCGTTCCCTTCAATTGGTGAAATTTACCTGTGTGTCCTTTTATTGGGAGTTATTTCCCTGGCCTCCCACCAGGGTGGCGTAGTCGGATAAATCTAATTATATTAATATTTCCTTCCACTTGATTATTGCCACATCTGTTAATAAAAGCCTCTCTGAGGCCTGATGCCACACAGTGGTCTGTCGTTTGCTCCTCCCGCGACACCCATTAATGTAACCTACGCCAGAGCGCGTACACACGTGTTTTTTACACATAGATTTTGTTACCATTGCCATGCATTATAAGATTGATAGACTGCAACGGTTGGACTTAAAAATCATCAAATGTGTTCTACTGAAGAAACAAAGTCACCTACATCTTGGATGCCCTGGGGGTAAGCAGATAAACATCAAATTTTCATTTTTGGGTGAACTATCCCTTTAAGTTAATTGTTACTCTGATAAGTGCAGTTTTAGTGCTATGAAATTATCTAAAAGCTGACTGGAATTCCTCACAGATACCATTTTTTCCAAGAAGTAGCATGGTTGTGAAGACACCACTTTTTCTAGAATTGTTGATAGAAAAGGGAGATCTGAGATATGTCTGTAGTTAACAATTCTCTAGAATTGATTTGTGTTTTTTAATAAGAGGTTTAACATCAGCTAGCTTGAAAGATCTTTGGGACGTATCCTAATAATAATGATGAGTTAATATTAGGAAGAGATTCTATGACTTCTGGAAGCATCCTTTTAATAGCTTGGTAGTATAGGGTTTAGCATCCATGCTGTTGATTTAGATGATTGAGCAAGTTAACAATTCTTCCTCTCCTAAAGCAAATAATGATTGAAATGGACTGATGGACTGACGGCCATGGTGGAGACAAGGGAGTTTTGAGCCATGGTGGAGCCACTGGGTCAACAGGTCGAGGCGGAGTCCAGGTCTTGGAGGTTGGAGGCGGAGCCCGGGGATCCTCCAACCATGATGGAGCTGAAGACTGACAAACCCCAAGCGAATCCGCTCCACAGATGGAAAGCTGAGCATGAGCTGAGGGACTGGCAGGATGCAGTGGGGCAGAAGATGGCAGATGGCTCATGAGAGGAGGTGAGAGAGGTAGGCTGGGTGGGTCTTCGTGACAGACGGGCTTTCTAGGCAGGTGTATGCCACCCACACACACCAAAGTGCAACTCCCAGCACAGGGAGCGTGGCAGATAGGGGAATAACCTCCGTGGTCATGACAGGACAGACAGATAATTCAGGGCAGAAAGACAGTGCGGGCATGACCTCCGTAGTCATGATAGGTCATAATCGGCCTCCTTGGCCGTAACAGGACAGGCCAACAGTTCAATGCAGACCTCCATGGTCGTGACATTGCAGACAGACAGTTCAAAACATGCGGATGGTCCAGGACAGACAGACAGTTCAGGGCAGACAGACGGTTCTGGCGAGAGGAGAACGGG